TGATGGGTGCGATGTGTCTGTTGACAGTATAATTCAAAGAAATATCTATTTATACCGCTTTCAAAAAAACAATTTTTTTTCAGTCCCCTTCAACTATATACCTATTTGTTGGAGAATGTCTTGGTTACTACTGGACATATGATAAATATGTAACAAAAGGGCTCAATAGACAATTTTTAAAAATTCAATATATGACTTCGAGATAAAAGCATATAGGTACGTATTTTCTGACCAACAGAAATGGATAATATATACATAACTCAGTACTTGCAATGTCGTTAATTTCTCAGATTATAAAAACATACCTGTTGTTTCCTTGACATTTTTTCCAACTACAGAATTTTGTAATAGATGACTGATTCGAAAGGCATTGTTACCTAAAACAAACCCCCGATCATGGATATCACAGTCGGCTTGTACGGGAAGTCATAGAAATCCATTAACATACGGAAAACTACAACAGAAAAGAAGATGCGGTAACGCTTAACCGGATTTGAAATCCCCTACTAAAAGATGCTAAAGTGGCAACAGCGCAATGCAATGTTACGTCATTAACAGGTGATAACACTTCGGCCAATAACAACTCTTCAACAAGAGAGGCGGACTACCTGAGTCAACATAAATACAACCTACTAACTGAAATCACCAGTCATCGGTGAATCATCAAGATGAAGAAACCAGCCACTCGTGCTGGCGAAACGTTAGGATGCAGTTCCAAACTACGACGGCCTTCAAACCCGAATGGAGATAGTAAAACTGAGTGCATCACAAGTCCATGATATAAGTGCATATAAGAAAATTCACTTCTTGATAATAATGAAGTTTCAGTGTCACTTTGTTTCGGGTTTGAAGCCCGTGGATTTTTGGAATTTCTTCCTGACGTTTCGCTGGCGCGAGTGGCTAGCTTCTTCAAAGGGTTATTTATCCTGGATTAATATCCGAATCAGTCATCAGATATTAATCCATGATGTATAAACCTCTGGGACTTCCGATATAGCATTCAACAACAAGTGTAAATAATGAAATTGTTTTATCAAAATAGGTGTTCTGTTCGGGCAACGTATCGCGCGCCTGTCTTATTTTACGGTCGCCATAATCGTCCCACCGTGAGGACTATTCGCAATGTGGTAGATAAATTTAGAGTCCAGTGGTTCAGTAAACGATCGACAAACACCCGTATGTCGAAGAAACGCAAGAAAACATCACCGCTGTCTGTGAGAGTGTGCAGCAGAATCCGAGGCAGGCATTAAAACCGGAGGAGCTTATTGAACAAGTCAGAAAATATCCATTTCTATATGATCAGACTAAAGAGCTGTACCGCTGTTCTCTGTGAGAGCTCTTCCATTTTCTTCATCTTCTTCTTCTAAAGTGCCATAATGGCTATATCGCAGTTGCTAAAATTCTTGAACATTTTGCTTAGAGGACCTTCCGAGATATTGTTTGAATCAACACTGGCGAGAGTAGCAAGTGTATCAAGCTGGAGCGGTAAATCGGACAGAAGTCGGAAGCATGTAAGACAAGTGTGATTACCCACTGGGGATCCTGCACTGATCCGCTTTTGAGGCAAAATTAAACCGGAGTCGGATCGGAGAGGTGTATGAAGAAGTGTATTCTGGCCTTTATACGTCAAAGTCATGGAAAATTGGACGTTTCAGATACGCTCCACCCAGAGAAGCCGTGGCGGACACTTGAAGAATGTTATATTCCACACATAATGGCATCAATAGGTCTTTCAAACGAAAAAACAATTTAGATATCTCACACACTTTTTTTTATTTAAATTTAGAAATAGGAAGCGAAAGACCCATATTCTTCCCTCCATCAAGAAAGTCCTGAATAACAAAACCAGGAAACACAAAGTGCTCAAAAACAAACTTCAATGAACGGCTGGTCTGATGCAAAAATGTTTCCATGGACATAATATTCCACAGAACTGTATTACCGATTTGTTAGAGATTTTACAAAGGCGTGGCCATCACGAATTAGCCAAAGATGCGAGAAGCCTCATGAGAACCCAAGGGGATTTACAAATGTGGTTGATGTAATGTGATCTTTCGGTTGGAAAAGATGCAAAAGTATCATCGATACCCACACCGATGACATCAAGAACTTGCACCACACTGAAGGTGTGTACATACACTGCGAAACTTAAAACCTTGTTTTTTTTTGGAAAAATTGTTTTCCTACACTATGTACCTTTTTTCGGCGAACACCATATAAATGTTTGGGAAAGAAAAGTTTTGACTTTCTACTTTTTCATCTTTTTACAAAAAATGTGGGAATCTTCCAAAGAAAGGAAGAAAGATAAAGATGGAGAAGTAGAAATCCAAAATATTTCTATCCCAAAAATTATCTCTACTAAAAACATACCCCTTTTAATTTGAAAATTATATTCAATATATGCTAGCAGTGCTAAACTCGATGTCTGTTTCCAAATACTGTCTATTAGTGTTTACTTATGAAATTAAGATGGGTCTAGCACCTGCATATCTTGTTATTAAAATAATTAATTTATAACTACCAGATTCAGCCTCATCAAACAAGAAACAGAAATAATTTTCACGTACCACAACTGCTACTTCACAAAATTTCCTATTTTTCAGGGATCTAAATGCTCTTAATAAATTACCCGTTTCTGTTCAAGAGGCAACCTCTCTTTATACCTTTAAAACAAGTTTAAAAAGTCATATGTTGAAGTAATCTGTATCCATTCAAGTTCTGACTTTATGCTATTGTATTTTTTCAACTCTTATTTTAACTGTGATTAACTCAAGTTGAATGGGTTTTGTATTTTTTATGTTATGTGTTATATTTTATATATTCTGACAAACTGTATGTAACTACCTTTTTTGTGCTGAATAAAGGATCAATAATAGTTTGTTTCTCGATCCATTGTAATCTGGCACTAGGAATTTACCAATATTTGTTAGAATTACAAGCAGTCATCAAAAATAATCATACTATCTAGTTCATCAAACATTTAAGCGAAGGTATATATCACAAATAGAGGTAGGTAATATTTGTGGTGACCATCATCTACGGTAAAGACTGGATAGATGATGTAATGTAACACCATCAAAAATTGTACAAATAACCCTTTATTCACCACACCCATCTCACTTCACACCTGGATGCACATTTTGATAAACGAGTTATCATCACTTGGGTAACAACACAGGAAAGATTATAGTTATCAAAATGTGCATATAAATAGGTCTAAAAGTGAGTGGTGTGGGAAAGCAGTTATTTGTGCAATTTTTATTAGTGATCATATATAGCAGTGATGTAAAAGTTACATAACATATATTATAGTGTATGTTATGTGACATTTATGTCAGTTTGTTACATTTTTTATATACTATTTATTTCATTAAATAATATAAAATATATATATTGTCATAATTATGTAAAAGTTACACAAAATATAATGTATATTATGTAATATTTAGGTCACTTTGTTACATAATATTCACCTAATAAAAAAATACATAATAAAGTGGTTACATCAGTGTTACATAAAAATGATATTGTCGTATTTCCCAGTAAACACACTTGTTACATTTACGTAAATATGACATAAACCTAAGGGAACATGTTTATGTAATACATTTATGTAAATACTTCATTACATTCCTAAGATACTCTTACCCCATATTTACATAAATAATTCATGTGAATATGTCGTAGCTAACACGTAAAAACTTAGGTGTCAATATGGTATATTAGGTTTCACTTAACTCCTACATAAAGTTGTTACTTCAATTTTACGTTCGCTGTGTTTTCAGGCTGACTTTTTGACAGATGAGAATCTCTTGAGTTTTCAAGTTATATGTTGGTCTGTGTGAAGTTCTGTGGGAGAGGCTAGAGTTTTTGAGACATTCTAATCACGTGATACACTGAGATTTGTGTTTCTGTTGATGATCATTTTTTACAAAAAAAAACTGTGGAGGCAGAGTTTGGTCTGTAAGTTTTGGTTTTTGAAGGATGCTTTTTCCAGTTAATGATTCCAAGTTTTTCTGCGAGCGAGTGTTATATTTTGTTCATATTTACTCACTGAAATTATATAAAATATATGTAAAATAATGACATTAATGTTACTTAAAAATCAGGTTGTTTTTGTGGCGGACATTTCGCCATAACAAGGATGTAAGTTTTACGTAACATAGTTACATAACACGTATCATCAGTTATGTAACATTCATGTCAATTTTACATGATTGTGTTTGATGGGTTATGGCGGAATTTCGCTATAACAAGGACGTTAATTTTACATAACATAGTAACATAACAAGTAAAATTAGTTATGTAACGTTTACATCAATTTCACATAATTGGTTTAAAAAATCTGTTTTAAAAAAATTTTTTTTTTTCCGGTAATCAGTTGTCGCCCCCATACGAACGACAATGCTCAGAAGTTGAGAAACTTGTGCGAGCTAAAGACTAACGAGGTCTTACCTTTTAACGTGTGATTCCTAACACGGTTTGCTGGGAATGTATAAAAAAAATTGTAAGCCGACGACTTCATTATTGTCAAGGAGTGAATGATAAACATTTTGAAAATCTGTTGGAATGGACTGGAGTGAGTTTTGAATAATTGAAAAAAAAATATGATATAGTTTTTTCGCAGATTCGTGAAACGAATATGAAACTGCTGATTATTCGGAAACTGCTGATTCGATTTCCATCAATAAAAATTGGAAAAAAAGCGCGTGATACCACACTATTGTCTTTTTTATCAAAAAGTACTAAAAATGATACCTTTTAATGTGAATTTTGTCCGACCTTGATATCTTGTTGCTTTTGAGGGTGGGACTATTCATGTCCGCACTGTATATACCATTTACAGTGGTGGCAAGTATGGAAAAGGAAAAACACAAACAGGAAAACTTTCAAGTCGCTAGCCTATATTGATATCTGATTTTTGTCGAACTCTCAGCAAAAATATAACCTGTAATGCTAATCAGAGCAACAAGAAAGGGTTTTTGATTGAAACAAGTAAAATAATAGACACATTTTCATGGTATCGAAATAACACCAAGTCCGACTCCTCCTTCATGAGCTATCATATCTGCAGCATAGGTCCATTTATCGGCTTTCGGGTCGTAAACCTCCACTGTGACAAGATTGGATATTCCATCGTAGCCCCCCACGGCCCATAATTTACCCATATTTGCCGTGAGAGCCACTCTACTTCTCTGGGCGTTCATGGGCGCAACATAGGTCCATCTGAAAATACGACTCTCTTCATTATAACTTGTATGGATTATAACGAGTATTTTTGATATTCGAAAGACCAAGGAGTTGGCGACATTCAAACATAAATGTTAAATTCACCTCTTCAATATTTGAAAAAATAAAATCAGAGAAAAAAATTGTTATTGCAGCATTTTCAATATTGAACATCCCTTACATTTTTGAATTTCACTCATTTAACTAGGCATCGAATGAAATTTTTTCACCTTTTTACCAAGGAAACTGTTTTTGCATACTTTTTTACACGCTTTATATTAGCTTCACCTGTATGTATGTATGTTTGTTTGCTTGAAACTCTCCAGCTCGGGATCTGTATTTGGCATAATTATCGACATTATTGCTTGATCTTTTCGCGGGCAGATGGCGCTAGACGTAACCTCCTTGATATATGAACATTATTGCTTGATCTATTCGAGGGCAGATGGCGCTGTACGTAACTCCTTGATATAATTCGAACTCACTCTTCATTTGAACAAAGTATTTTTATTACCACGCGCGCCTGCTGCCTTATTTGTAACCCTCCTTTTGGCGTCTGCTGCTTTGACCTTGGTAACTGATTTTCAGGCTCCCTCTCCGGAATCGGAAAATATCAATGGTCATTTTTCAAAACAATATACGGCTGATTGATCCCGAAGTTTAGATAAAATAAATATAATTTGTAAAACTAAAAAACACGCTTTCAAGGAACATCGAACTGGAAAGTTAAAAATATTTTTTCCAAAATAAGCTTAAGACAATAACGAACGAGAAATACTAGTATTATTGTAAAAAAGCGACGGGCTCTTGATATACAAAAAATATGGCACAAAGCGCCCACGCTTTTTTTACAATAATACTTCATTTTTAGTTTGATGTTCTTTGAAAGCGTGTNACTGCGATAAGCAGTGCTGCTAATGTGAATGTCATTTTTACCCCGAGTGTTATAAGTGTGAATGTCTCTATTCAATATTATAAATGTATGAAAGTAAACAGGAGCCAGGTTATTCAATATTTTATATACAAAAATCATTGTGAAATAATACAATCTTTTTTCGACTGAGAACCAATTAAGCGTTGCTAACATAGATCTTATGGGGGTGAGACGATTAGTTCTCAGAATTATTCTCATGCCACGATTTTGAAGTTTTTGTAGCATATTCAGCTTAGTAAGATCAAACAAAAACAGGGCTGATGAGCAATAATCAAAATGCGGCTGAATAATTGAATTATATACCGTGATTTTTGTTTCGGTTGATAATTCCTGGGCTATACGAGAGAAAAAATAAAGTTTTTTTGAAATTTTTTTATGAATATAATTGAAATGGGTATTGAAGTTCAGAAAGTTATCCAACTGGAAGCCCAAATACTTGATATTCGATACAATTTCAATTTGTTCATTATTGATGTTTAGGTTAAGGCTATTAATATTAATGGTATCATATCTGTATTTACTTGTGAATATCATAGCCTGACTTTTAGACACATTCAATTTCAATTTATTCAAACTCAAATACTTGCTAATTGATTGTAAAACATTATTCATTTTTTGAATAGCCGTATCTAGGCAGACGTCACTACAAGCAATTAAGGTATCATCAGCAAAGAGGTTAATGAATTCGCATTCCACAAAGAGGTTAATATCATTAATGTATAATAGAAACAATAATGGGCCCAAAACACTTCCCTGTGGAATGCCAACATCATTATCTAACTCAGACGAAACTTCAGACTTGAAACGTACCCTTTGGCTACGTTGCTGGAGGTAGTTATTTAGCCATTGGTATACCTTGCCTCTTATCCCATATTGCTTGAGTTTAATCAACAATATTTTACGATCAATGGTTTCGAATGCTCTCTTCAGATCAAGGAACACAGTAATTCTTATTGACAAAGTGTATTTTATGTAAATAGTTAAAAAAAATAGGCACATAACAAAATATAAATTAGTCCAAAAATAATGAATGAATAAATACAGGTACATCATATCAAATGCTATATCAGACCAGAGTAATTACACTAACAAAAGATGACTTTAGTATTACAATTGATGAAAAATGAAACATTTCATGTTTTTTACCACTTATATTCGAAACTAATCTACTGCAGTTTCGTCCTATAAGGACATTTTCGAACTTATACATTAAACAGAAAGTTTCATTTCTCATGTTTCATAATGATTTCCTATCAAGTAGTAACGGCTACATCCAACAATTAATTGCAATTGAATTTATCTGCCTATATACAGGGCTATTCAAATTCGTTTCTGTACATAGGGATCTCGTAAACCATAAGAAATAGAGTGTCGGTTAAATTGTGGCAGAGTTGCGTATTTTAGAGACCTATTTAATGATGTGAAATAATCGAATATAGTTTTTTTCGTTCTGGAGATATACAGGAAAAACCAAAAAATCCCAAATTTATTCGCAGACATTTTAAAAATCTGTTCACATTTTGCTGTTGGCACTTGAAGTGGTCTATCAGAATATGTCCATGAATATTTTATACAGGGTGCCATCTGACTTGGGCAACACCCATCTTTGAATTTTTAAATACGGACCTGTATTTTTTGTTGTAGTTTTTGGATCGTAGACGTTCACTTCATACTGAGAAGTTGAATTTTATTTTATATTTACGGCCCTGGAAATTGGTTGACCGAGTTAAATAAAAACACAATAGCAACTTTCACGAGTCCCTATGTACCGTAAAGTTATAATAATAACTTTATTCGTCTTTTCGATCATATACATGATATAAGACATGTCATGAATAAAAATATGAAAATTATATAAAACAATAATAACGGTCCACAGTATAACATAGATCGGACACTTGAAACAGGTACTTAACTATATACATATATAAAAAATAACACAAATACACATAATGGCGCACTAAATGTTCGAATTGGAGTCCTTCCATTTCGATACAAATAATGGGCCAATAAGATGGCCTGCAAGATCACCAGATCTTATTATTTTTGACTATTTTCTATGGGGACCCTTCGGTACATAGAGAGACGTGAAAATTGCTATTGTGTTTATATTCAACTCAGTCAACCAATTTTCAGATTTTCAATATGTCTGCAAATAGAGAAGATATAAGCAAAAAAATAATTTGGGATTTTTTGGTTTTTCCTGTATATCTCCAGAACCAAAAGAGCTATATTCGATATTTCTACATCATTGAATAGGTTTCTAAAATACGCAACTTTGCCACAATTGAACCTATTGGTAGCCCTGTATATACAGGGCTACCAATAGGTTCATAATAAATGTCTAGATTTTCACAGAGTTGATTGTAGAGTTTGCTCATTGCAACAACTGATGACTTTAATATGTTTGTTCTAGAATTTGGTAGTTAAAAAGTCAGTTCATTTCTAGAATTATTTCGTGGAACATGAAAGTTGAAATGGGAGAGTAGTTCGGGATAGTCAATCATATTATTCACAAGTTTATAAATGAAAATTATAGAGTAGTAGGTTCTTCCGTTTTGAAAGGATAATAGATTGAATTTATTGAGTAGTATTCTGTTGTCGATGCCTTGTTCAGGGTAAAATCCTTCTAGCTTGTAAGAAATATATTTCATGAAGCCTCTTTGTATAGATTCGATTTTGTTTATGTGGACATTGTATATGGGTGACCATATAAGGGAGGCATATTCCAGCCGAGATTTGACGTATGCATTGAAAAGAGTAAAAAAAACTGTCTCTGCTACGAAAATTCTTACAGTTACGATAGATGAGACCTAGCATTCGTTTGCCTGAGCATGTTATTGTGTCATAGTGTATGGAGAAACTCAGTTTAGGGTCAAATGTGACACCAAGATCCCTTTGATGAGTGCTTATTTGAAGAGATGTGTTATTTATGCAGTAATAACATTATGTTTAAAGGTGTATTTTGAGTATTTACATTTGTTTGTGTTGAAGGGAAGATTATTTTTGATACACCAAAGGTACAAAAAGTCGAGGTCTTTTTGTAAGGTTAAGCAGTCCTCCACTGATGTAATGGGCGGAAAGAAGTTACTAGAGAGATTATTTCCTATTTCGATAATGAAAAGTGAGAATAAGAGGTGCCAAATTGCTTCCTTGAGGGGCACCACTGTTAACAATAAATTGGAACGACTTGTGATCTCTATAATCTACGAATAGGATACGTTCAGTTAAGTATGAGCGGAACAGGTTTAAAAGTTGAGATTCTAATCCATATTGGTGAAGTTTATTGATAAGAATGTTATGATCCAACTTGTTAAACGCCTTCGAAAAATCTGTGTAGACAGTATCTACTTGTAGGTTATTATTAAGTGCATTACTTACCGATTGTGTGAAACACATTAAGTTAGTTATTGTTGATCTTTTGCTAAAGAAACCATGATGATTGTTTGAAATTAAATTCTTAACATCAGGAAAGTTTATGTTGCACAAGCAGATCTCAAAATCCCTTGTAAAGTTGGAGAGCAAGGTTATAGATCGATAGTTTTGGATATTGTTTATAGCACCAGCTTTGAAAATTGGGCAAATTTTTTGTATTTTCCATTTGTTAGGAAAGCATTCTGTACTCAGTGCTAGATTGTAATGGTGTGGATATATCAATCAATCAATCAAATATACTTTATTGTCTGAAGAACTACATCTTGTAGACAAAGTCATAAATAATATGTAAGATAACCTTACATTTTTGAATTTCACTCATTTAACTAGACATCGAATGAAATTTTTTCACCTTTTTGCCAAGGAAACTGTTTTTGCATACTTTTTTTACACACTTTATATTAGCTTCACCTGTATGTATGTATGTTTGTTTGTAACTCTCAAGCTCGGGATCTGTATTGGCATAATTATCGACATTATTGCTTGATCTTTTCGCGGGCAGATGGCGCTAAACGTAACCTCCTTGATATATGGACATTATTGCTTGATCTATTCGAGGGCAGATGGCGCTGTACGTAACTCCTTGATATAATTCGAACTCACTCTTTATTTGAACAAAGTATTTTTTTTATTAACACTGCTGCCTTATTTGTAACCCTCCTCTGCGCTCCTGCTGCCTTCTTTGAGCTTGGTTGCTGATTTTCAGGCTCCCTCTCCG